TGTGTTCTGGATCTGTATCCTGCTCCCTTGTTTCTACCACTTTATCTTGCTTCTTTGTGTGGACTGTGATGGTCTGTTGTCTCTGAGACATTGTGGCATTATTGTATTTAGACCTCTGTTAACTATTTGTGAGGAGCAGCCAAAGGTGAGTCAGGTGGTTGTTTATCATTGGTCCGTTGGTGAAGAAGGAAGTGGTGGCTCTCAGTAAGTGATGCTGCAGGAGGTGTGAGTGTAGTTGTGTCATATGGGGACTGTTGTTGTTTTTCACTCAGTTAGACAAAAATAACAACTGAATAACCATCAAAAAAGTAAAAGCAAATGGACAAAAAATACACTGTGTAATCACACTGGAACAGTAACTAAAAAAAGAAAAAAAGGGAAAAAGAAGAAAAAAAATAACCCAGAAGTATCTGGGGAGAGGGTAATAAGAAAAAAAGGTAGAGAAAGAGAATAATGAAGAAAAAAATGGGAAAAAGTGAAAAAAGAAAAACAAAGAATGGGGTTAACCACAAGAAAGAAAAGAGAAAAGAGAAAAATAAATGCAACCAGGAACAAGGAAAAGAAAAAAAGCTGAAAACTACAACCTGGGAGGGGAAGAATAAAGAATAATAGTAAAAAGGACAAAAATAATAATAATAATAGTAGTTTTAAAACAGACAAAAACAAACAAACTAAAAAACAGAAAAAAGAATAAAAACATGGGGGCAGGGCGAGGCAGGGCACCCAGGTTCTGTCCAAGCACACAGACTGGGGTGGAGTTCCTGCAGGCCTAGAAGGTGGGTGGGAATGAGGGATGGCTGCACCTCTATTCACCAAGAGGGTGTGGGGTTTAAGAGTAACAAGGGGAATGTTGCACCCTTCCAGTCTTCTGGGTCCAGAATGTCCTTGGGGTTGCTGGCAAGTGGAGCCTGTTCTTAAGTCCCTGGAATCTGGGAGAACGTTGTCGCTTTAAATATCCAAAATGGTCAAGCCACTTGTAAACATTCAAAATGGCTGCGCCCTCCGGGCAGACAAAAGTCCACAGCTCAGCCTGCTATCCTCTTTGTTGCCTCCCCTTTTATTCCCTAGCCACCAGAGCAGTCCTCCATGCAGTCCCTGGCTAGCAGGGCCGATTTTTGGGTTAATTCTTAGGTCTTACCAGCACTTGGCAATATCCAAGCTGTCTGTGCCGTCAGGATTGCTGCCAGACTGCAGCTCCGTATGTCTCCTTCTTTGGTATTTTCATGCAAATTCGTCTGCTACTTGGAGTTTAGTCCACTTCTATATCCTTCCTTTCAAGGCTCAGGGATCCAGTATTTCTTCTGTATCTGTATTAATTGGTTCCCCTTTTCTTTGTTGAAGAGGATCTGTGTAGTCTTTCTGACTATTCTGCCATCTTACTGGAACTTGAGTCCCTGATCCAAATTCTAACAACATTCTTTAATGAGATGGAAAAACTAATCACCAACTTTCTATGGAAAGGAAAGAGATCCTGGATAAGCAAAGCGTTATTAAAGAAGAGGGACAAAGTAGGAGGCCTCACATTCTGTGATCTCAGAATCTATTACACAGCCATAATAATTAAAACACTCTGGTACTGATACAGTGACAGATACATAGACAAATAGAATTGAGAACCCAGAAGTAAATACATCCAGGTATGCACAACTGTACGTGGATGTATTTACACACAGTTGTCCATACGTGGATGTATCAACTGGGGAGCTCTGCTGGTGTAGTGCCTAAGGCATATGACTGCTAACCAGAAGGCTGGCGGTTCAAACCCACCAGCCACTCCTTGGAAGGAAGATTTGGCAATCTACTTCTGTAGAGATACTGCCTTGGAAACCCAAGGAGGGGTTGCTATTGAGTCAAAATCAACTTGACAGCAGTGGGTTTGGTTTTTGGATGACAAATCTTCAACAAAGGGTCAAAGTCCATTAAATAGGGAAGAAAAAGTCTCTTTAACAAATGATGCTGGTAAAACTGGATATCCATCTGAAGAAAAACAAAACAAGATCATACCTCACATCACACACAAAAACTAACTTAAAATGTATCAAAGACTTAAATATAAAACCTGAAACTATAAAGATTATGGGAGAAAAAAATAGGAACAGTAGTAGGGGTCCTAATACATGGCATAAATAGAATACCAAACATAATACTGTGCAAACAGCAAAAGATAAATTAGATAACTGAGATCTAAAAGTAAACACCTATTCTCAACAAAAGGCTTTGCCAAAAGAGTGAAAAAAGAACCTACAGGGTTAGACAAAATTTTTTGGCTATGACATAGCTGACAAGGGTCTAATCTGTAAAATTTATAGAAAATGACAACACATCAGCAACAAAAAGACAAACAATCCAATATAAAAATGGGCAAAAGACATGAACAGACACTTCATCAAAGAAGATATTTAGGGAGGTCTGGTTCCATAGTGCCTAAGGCACTTGACTGCTAACCAGAAGGCTGGCTGTTCAACCCCACCACCCCAGCCACTCCTTGGAAGGAAGATGGGGCAATCTACTTCCATAGTGATACTGCCTCGGAAACTCAAGGAGGGGTCTCTATGAGTCAGGTCCGACCTAATGGCACAATAACAACAACAATAACAACAACAAACACATAGGAGCTCTGGTGGTGCAGTGCCTAAGGCATTTGACTGCTATCCAGAAGGCTGGTAGTTCAAACCCACAAGCCACTCCACAGAAGGAAGACTGGGCAATCTACTTCTGTAATGATTTACTGCCTTGGGAACCCAATGGGGGTTGCTCTGAGTTGGAATTGACTTGATGGCAGTGAGTTTTTTTTTTTTTTTTTTTTGAGTTTAACAGACCCTGTGAGAATGGAACACTGCCTGGTTCTGTGCCATCCTCATAATATATGATAATGCTTGAGCCCATTATCCCAGCCACTGTGTCAATCCATCATTGAGGATCTTCCCCTTTTTCACTGATCCTCTACTTTACCAAGTGTGATACCCATGTCCAGGGACTGGTCCCTTTGAAAACATGAGACAAAGTCTGGCCATTCTCATGTCTAAGGAACATTCTGGCTGCCTTTCTTCTAGGACAGATTCGTTTATTCTTCTGCAGTCCATGGTATTTTTGATATTCTTTCCAGCACCACAATTCAAATACATCAATTCTTCTTTTGTCTGCTTTATTCATTGTCCAGCTTTCACATGAATATGAGGCTACTGAAAAGACCATGGCTTGGGTAAGGTGCACCTTAGTCTTCAGAGTGATGTCTTTGCTTTTCAACACATTAAAGAGGTCTTTTGCAGCAGATTTGCCTAATGTGATATGCTGTCTGATATTTTGACTGCTGTTTCTATGGACAATGATTGTGGATCCACGTAAAATAAAGTCCCTGGCAACTTCAATCTTTTCTCCATTTATTGTGATGTTGCTTATAGATCTAGTTCTGAGGATTTTTGTTTTATGTTGAGGTGTTATCCATACTGAAGGCTGTGGTCTTTGATCTTCATCAGTAAGTGCTTCAAGTCATCCTCACTTTCAGTAAGCAAGGTTGTGTCATATGCATATTGTAAGTTGTTAATGAGTCTTCCTCCACTCCCGATGCCACGTTCTTCTTCGTATCGTCCATATTCTCAGATTTTGCTCAGGATACAGAATGAGTAAGTATGGTGAAAGGATACAACCCTGATGCACACTTTTCCTGATTTTAAACCATGCAGTATTCCCTTGTTCTGTTCATATGACTGCCTCTTAGTCTATGTACAAATTTCTCATGAGCACAATTAAGTGTTCTAGAATTCCCATTCTTCTCAATGTTATCCATAATTTGTTCTCATCCACTACACCTTTCCATAGTCAATAAAACCCACTGCCATCAAGTTGATTCTGACTAATTGCAACCCCCATTGGGTTCTCAAGGCTATAAATCTTACAGAAGTAGATTGCCCCATCTTCCTTCAGGGGAGATGCCAGTGGGTTAGAACCACTGACCTGGTTAGCAGCCAAATGCCTAGGCACTGCACTACCACAGCTCCATTTCTATAACAAAATTTTCTTGTATTTGAACAGAATTCTTACCTAAGCTCTTGAAATGGGTCAGCTTGGACAAGTGGTGTCTCCACCGAGTGTTCAAAGAGAGCCCCTTCAGGACCTAAACAAAGCCAAAGATGAATCGGTGAAAAAGTAAACTCAATGGCATGAAACACATTAAACAGTTTGTCCGTGTATTTAAACACAAGAAGGTTTTGTTCCTTATTGTTGTAATTTGTGTGGCTATTTGGAGCGTGGAGAAAAAATAGATAACAACCACTCCCCTCTTTTCCAGGATGCAAAGATTTCACTGGGTTCCTAGCAAGAAAAGATTACTTTCAAATTGGTTTACAAGTAACTTGACCTATTTTTAAAACTAGACAGCAGGGTTAGCTTTAAATAAAAAATAAAAATTCCTGCTGAAAATTGAGGAAGTCCATGGACTTTACCTAATTGTAGTTTGACTATCGTCTAGTAGTTTTGTGTAAAAATTATATATTGTGTTATATATTTTAAGGCACATCAGGAAACACATAGAAAAAATCAAAATTTAAAAATATTTAAAATTGCCTTATAATTTCTAGAATCCAGTATACTTCTTTTTTTTTTTTTTTTTTTTTGAGAATGTAATTAATATGCTGGACACTGTGCCAATTGTGGTACCAAAATACAAAGGTGGAAGGGACATAGTCTGTGATAGGTCCTAACTCATTCAATACTCAGAACTCTATGACACAAGTAGTAGTATTTTCCCACTTCACTGATGAGAAAACTAGAGAATAGAAAGGTTAGTCAACTTCTCTAGGGTTACACAGCTATGAAGTGGCAAGGCTGGATTTTGAATTCAGGGCTATAAGGATTCTCATACATAGATAACAAACCACAGATGATATGCCACTAGCAAGGTGCAAGTAAATTATTTTGGGGAAATCATCCACAAGGAGAAACTAATTTACATGAAGGCAGCATGTAAGGCTTTATATAGTAAAATGCAGTTGGTTCGAAGCTCAAAATTAATAGACATGTGTGAACACGTGGACTTTATGGGCAAGGACTTCCATGGAGAACAGTGGTAACGGGGCAGGAAAATGTGACATATGGCTAAGAAAGAAAGAATCATTCAGTTACTGAGGGAATTAAAGGATTTGATGTAGAAATACAAATGAGCCTCTCATATTACAATGAAAGTCTTTCTTGAGTGTTGCATTCAAGCACACAGACGATGTAAGTGATACCATATGGCCTCTCTACCCCTAGTGTCACCCAGTGCAGTAATTCACAGTGTCACTGATTGCTTCCCAGGACCCCTCCCCTATCAGACCATACAGAATCCTGAGTAATGTTTATTATGGACTTAAATCACAGAATAAAACATTCAAAAAACCAAAACTCACTGCCATCAAGTAGATTCTGACTCATAGTGACCCCCATTGGTTTCTGAGGTGGTAAATCTTTACAGAAGTAGATTGTCCCATCTTTCTCCTGCAGCGTGGCTGGTGGGTTTGAACTGCCAACCTTCTGGATAGCAGTGAAAATACCTTAGGCACAATGCCACCAGACCTCCTTTAATCACAGAATAATATGGGGTAAATATAGTTGTAAATTGCTTAAATGTGATTTTCCTAGATTCTATGAATACTAACAACAAAATTGTTTTGTAAAATCTTTCTACTTTGAATTACAACATTATCAGTTAAAACATTATTAGTAACTGAATGGAATCCTTCTTGATTTTTCTCTTTCTTTCCTTTAACTACCACTTAATTCTCAAAAACGTTATCGATATAGGTTCCAAATACTAATTACCATAGTATTATCACTAAAAATACCAGGAAATTCGACAAAATCAGCCGCTATAAAAACACCGACAGCAGTTAAAACAATAATGCGTGGTTGTAGGACCTGCAGAAAAAACCATGTGATTTGATGTCATTAACTGGGTAATAGTAGTGTCTCTGGTGGTGTAGTGCCTAAGGCATTTGACCGTTAACCAGAAGGCTGGGAGTTCAAACCCACCAGCCACTCTGTGAAAGGAATACTGGGCAATCTACTTCCCTAGTGATATCTCCTTGAAAACCGAAGGAGGGGTTACTATGAGTCAGATCTGATTCCACAGCAGTAAGCAAGTTTTTGGGAGCTCTGGTAGCATAGTACCTAAGGCACTTGACTGCTAACCAAAAGGCTGGTGGTTTAAACCCACCAGCCACTCCTCGGAAGGAAGGTTGGGCAATCTACTTCCGTAGTGATACTACCTCAGAAACCCAAGGATGCTATGAGTCGGGTCTGACTTGACGGCATATAACAACAACAACAAACAACAACTGGGTAATAATGAGGACTCTGAGAGTGCACTAGAATGTTCAAAAGTTAACTGGAGGGAAGATGGCGGACTAGGCAGAAGGATTGCACAGACCCTCTTCAACAAAGAAAAGGGAAACCAATTAATACAGACACAGAAGATAATCTTGGACCCCTGAGCCTTGAAGGAAAGGATGCAGATTTGGACTAAACCCCAACTAGCAGAAGAATTTGCGTGAAAA